TACATATGTATATATCACATATATTATTATATAAAACAATTCATCATGTGAATATAAATATAATTGAAAAGATTGATGGCTTGCTAATTATGCTATTTGAAATGAATTCTCCATATCTCAAAGTTGTAAATCTTCATGTATGTATGATTAATTCTTTTGATTCTTTGTAAATCTAAGATATTTATTTTTATCATTATATATATATAGTAGATTACTTTCTATGGTAGAAAATTGTTACAAAATGACATTTTTTTCTCTTTTATATATATATATAAATATATATATATAATCGTTCGATCCTTAAATTTTTCTTGAGAATAATGTATTATTTTTGTAAAAACTAAAGAAATCAATACATAATATCTTTACTCTGTTGAAAAAGAGACTTATAGCCTTCACATCATATCCAAGCCGAAACCTAACAGAAAACAAAGAAAGTATAGAAACCCTAGAGTTATTAACGTGGCCGCGAGAAGAAAAAAACAGGAAAAGAAGAAAATCTGATTCAGGTTTTCTTGTGAAGATGAAGAGGTACTTATACCTCTTATTCTAGTGCACCAACGACCATTAAATGGTGTATTTTGGCTCTCGCACGGATGCAGGGTGAGGGAGATTGGGTCGGACATGTGCAAACCGTCTTTTACAGGTCTATTAATATTCTCCCATCAAGATGAAGAATAGATATTTTCTGTTCACATCTTGATTATATGTTTTTTGATATGTCAGTCAGATAAAGCCTTTCGTTGATTTTTTTTCTTTGTTGATTTTAGCTTTAAAAAAACTTTCACAATATAATAATTAATATTTCTATTCAATAAATTATTAAATTTTGAGTACTATTTTATTAAATTCATCGTGCCAATAATTACACTTTTACTTCAAAAAAAAACAAATTTAAAAAGTAATTACAATAGCTGCTAAAAAGTATTTACAAATTGATTCTCAGTTAATAATGTGAAGTTTCTCCTTTCTATTTATCTTTTACAAAAAAAAAAATCAAACAAGATTCCTTCTAACTTATTTCTAATCCTATCGGCATCTTTAAGAACTAATTAAAATGGTCTCGACAGAAGCACCAAGTCATAAGAAAGAATCTCTAATTGCACTTAATCAATCGAATGGTGTTTCTTAACTATCTCCGATCGACACTTACCTCAACAAAACAACTATTTAAGAAGTTAATTCTTAATCTCGATAATTTTTTTCTATGCTTTTATTAGTGTTAGCTCATCAAATTAAAGTACTGATATATTTAATCCCACGAAAAACACGTAGATTACTTGCTAATTTCATCAAAATCAAATGATTTTATACGATAAATTTAAATGGAAAATGAAAAAATAGGGTCTTAGAGTTTGTA